ATAGATTTTTGAAAGAAAATATTACCAGCAATAAAAATCTTGTCAGCATTAAATAACCTATTGAAGTTGATATGCCATAAAACAAAACAAATCAATGATTTTGAAAGCAGTTTTCTTTGTTTTTTCCTTTCTTTAAATTGAGATTCTTTATCTCAATTTTCTGAGTTATGTAAGAATAAAGATGGAGCTGTGAAAATGTTTGAAATCAACTGAAGATTACTGGCCTTTTTCAAATCTTTATTAATATTATTTAATGCAAACAAGAAAATTGAAAAAGAAAATTAAGATCCAACTCGATGATGACCTTAAGGTCGACTCCTCAAAATGGTAGAAAAAAATATTTTTAACCTTCAAGCAGGAATAATTTTAGGAGTTAACTATTTGCCCATAGTTGGGACCCCCACAGGTGCTACCACCCTGAGTCAAGGTGGACCTGGGAACACCAACAATTAAGAGGTGGCTCCACGCTCCTCAAAACCTCCAGATCAGAGGCTTTGCTGCTAGAAGTAGTTTATTGCCATAAAGAGGACGAATAAATTTGATGAATAAAGTTGATGTTCTTTCACTTGTTTTAAATGTTGCATCAAGTTGTCCTTAGAAGTCACTTCTTCTCTGCAATAGAATTTTGTGAAAAGACCAAAGAATCATAAACTCAACTCCTTAACAATTGCTAACCATTACTACTGAGTAGTGAGTTTGTTCCTCACTAGGTGTCCCATACAAAGTTCAACCCAGCAAGGACCAACAAGTCATAAAATGAACAAACTCAATCCAACTCAGCCTCAAGTTATAGGAGAGACATTTTTACTCATTAGTAATTAATATCTTTTGGTAATTTCTGTAAAAAACTGAATGCCATAAAATCACTAAAAATTCAAATATATATATATATATATATATATATATATATATATATATATATATATATATATATATATATATATATATATATATATATATATATATATATATATATATATATATATATATATATATATATATATATATATATATATATTCTGAGATGAGGTATTATGTACATATTTTACATTATTTGGACTATTGTCCTCATCTTTGTCACCATATTTATTACAACATTTCAGCTGTTGTATGCTCCGCCCTTCTTCAGGTGGTTGTAATGTTAAACTGAGCCCTTTATTTTGCTCATTGGTGTAGACTGTTCTGTTGTAGGATGTCAGTTGACATTAAACATGGCACATGGAACTAGGACAGTCTCCTCTAATGTGCAAAATAAAAGGGTTCAGTTTAACATTACAACCACCTGAAGAAGGCCGGAGCGTACAACAGCTGAAAGGTTGTAATAAATATGACGACAAAGATGAGGACAATAGTCTGAATAATGTAAATAGAATATATATATATATATATAAGCCTATATCCCCTTTGTAATTTTGGAAATCACTTTCAAGCTAATAGTAAAGCACATTGAAAATTGTTTTCTAGTTTAAGAAGGCAATACATGTTCACTTCCGATTGGGAGGCACATTTTATTTATTAAGACTTTCATTTTCTAAGCCGGTAAATATTAATTTCTAAGATTTAAAAAATGGTAATATCTACTTAAGTTCATGAAACCACTAAATATTTTAACCCACTAAATATTAACCCTTAATTATATCTATATAAACAGAAAATATATTAAATAATTATTTACATCATTTGGACTATTGTCCTTATCTTTGTCGCCATATTTATTACAACGTTTCAGCCATTGTACACTCCGGCCTTCATCGGGTGGTTGGAATGTAGAACTTAACCCTTTATTTCGCTCACTGGGGTAGACTGTTCAGTTATCAGTTATCTCCTGTTAATTCCCCACTGAAAGTTCTCCACTACCTTAACCGGGTATTGAACTCACACTCTTTGGGTCCTGCCACTGAATCTAACCAATGCTTTTATCCACTGTGCCATGTGTCTTTGAGGGGTCATCGATAACTGTGCTAGCATGAAGTCCCAAATCATCATGGCCAAGGGAGGACACATGGCACAGTGGATAAAGGCGTTAGTTAGATCCAGTGACAGGACCCAAAGAGTGTGAGTTCAATACCTGGTTAAGGCAGTGGAGAACTTGGAGAGGGGAATTAACATGATAACTGATAACTGACATCCATTAGACATGGCATGTGGAACTAAAACAGTCTACCCCAGTGAGCAAAATAAACCAGCTGAAGAAGGTCGGAGTGTACAATGGCCAAAATGTTGTAATAAATCTCGCCAATCATCGCAATAGTTTCCCATAAGACCAACTCACCGTAATGCCGGTGTTTCTTCCTTCGGATCAATTAGTGCCCTGCACGCCAGACACAAACGAACCCTCTTATGTCGAGAGCTAAAGTTAGTCTCACTTTCATGTCCACAAATTTTCTCCAAATTAGAGTCATGATCTTAAAGAGCCTCGTCAAATCCAGAATTTCAGATGGATTTCAAACTTATTTAGAAATATCTAAACTGTCAGTGGTAATCAATGGTTAAGAGTGGCTTCAAGTGAATGAAGTCTGCAGATCTTAGCAAGAACCCTCCTTCTTTGAAACTTGCAGACTGGTGCCATAGAATCACAAACAAAGAACTGAAACCACATCAGCAACAAAAATAGAAATATATATATATTTGTTTATATATATATATATATATATATATATATATATATATTTATATATATTTCTCTATATTTCTGAGATGAGGTAATGTAACTATTTACACTATATGATAGTTCAGTGTGTAAACCTCATCTTTATTATATATATATATATATATATATATATATATATATATATATAAAGGGTTGTTTAAAATCTTGTGGGTTACTGTGCATCAGTTTTGTTTATTTGACTCTTCTAAAAAGTGTGATTAGTTTTACACAAGCCAGCACCACTATAGTCAAATCATAGAGGTTTGTTTATTGCCCTGTTCACACTTTCCTCATCTTTTGAACAAGATTAGAGCTTTAGTCCTTGTTTCCTGTTTAGGATTGGGTGCCAGTTCCTTCTCCTAAAGTCTTCTCTTTCTTTTTCATTCCCAGTAACCTCTTGAGTCTTAGTGGCATTATTACCTTACTCGGGGTGAAATGATTGAAAAAAATATTTGGTGAGTAGTCTGACTGTTCAGTTCTAAGAACTGAGTTTCTGGACACTCATATGCTGAAAAATAATAGGAGTGTCCCCCATATATATATATATATATATATATATATATATATATATATCACTCACAATAAATGTTTGTAAACACAGAATTAAAGTAGAATTTTTCAGTTTTGTAAAAAAGTAAGTTTTATTTTAAGCTGATTTCGAGGCAAAAAAAAAAATAGTTAAAAAGTCATATATTTTCTGACCAATCAGAAAAAAACTATGCAGTTTCAACTAACAAATTCGATTTCAAGCAACTCCAACATTATATAAACCACCATCAATTCAACACCAAACGTCATTTTTCTATTCCTCACCAATTTTGGACAAGTAATCACCAAACATATGAGCAACAACAAGATTTTGGAGAAAATGGAAACAAAAAGGAAATTTATACTTGACATTAGGAAGAGGCAGTTGAAATTTCTCAGGCACATAATGAAGAAGGAGGGCTTGGAAAATCTGATACTCACAGGACAGATTGAGGGAAAAAGAGGCAGATGAAAGCAGCATATAAAATACTTAATGAGTTTGAGTAATTGGATGGTAGAACAGGGTTTAGAAGAAATAACATAAAGACAAAAATTATTAAGAGCTACAAGGGATAGGAAGATATGGAGGACCATGATCGCCTACGTTCGGAAGGGACCCGGCACATAGAAGAAGAAGACTCACATGACAGATTGAGGGAAAGAGGAACAGAGGAAAGCAGCATGTAACATACTTGATGGTCTTTAGTAAATGGACGGTAGAACAGGGTTTGGGAGATATAGCAAATAAACAAAACTTATTAAGAGCTCCAAGGGACAGGAAAGTGTGGAGGGCCATGATTGCCTACTTCCTGAATTGATAAAGCACATAAAAGAAGAATCACCAAAGATACCACCCACTGAAGCCTAATGCTGACAACCAAACATAGATACAGAGGTACCAGGAGTTCAATGTTAACAGCAGCAGTCGAAAACAATGGATGATGAGAATGTGATATTTTTTTACAGGATCTTTTTAACGACTACAAGGCAATACCAACTCCTAACTATGTGGTAGAATCTTGGCATGAACTCCTCTAATCAAGGCAAAAGTGTAAATATATCTTTCTTCTAATTTTAACAATCTAATCCTAACCCTCTCCATTATTGAGTTACCACTTAATCCTTTTTCTTTTTTCTATTTGTCTGAGTGATAGTGTCTTTGACAATACACTCGGACAAGGCCCTTTTATACTCACCAGTAATGTTGCACTCATAACAGATTTATTCCTTTCTTGAGGTTATGCTATCAACATTCCCCATCATTATTAATGAGACACGCTATCACAATTTGTTTTGCCAGCACCATCTTCATGAACGTTTCAATAGAAACTTATTCTTGGAAGAAATTGTTTCCTCAAAGACTAATGGTAATTAGTTTTGACCAAACCCAGTATATATATATATATATATATATATATATATATATATATATATATATATATTACCATATGATGCAGTCAACACATATTTTACCATATGATGCAGTCAACACATCAGTTTTCTCGTCTTTGCTTATTCATCAATACCCAAATATTTCCACATTCACAGCCAGCTTCTGTTAGACGATTTGCTTTGGTGCCCTTCCTCACAAGAGTTTTTCTTCAATGAAGACATTTATTGCGAGTTGTCCAGAAAATAGATTCAAATCTATCATTCGTGCCTGCTTCAATGTTCGACCAGTCTAAGTAATAACATTAAGAAATTCAATTGAATAATTTGTTTCTGGTTTCGATCCTTATTATTGCTATTAAAGGAAATGTGAGCAAATGGCTTTAATTCTGTGAAAGGAAGCGCTAACAAAATCTGATTGATTCTTTCTTTCATGTTTTCTCTTTCCTTGCCATTTTTACTCATTCTTTTTTCTTTCTTTTGTTTTTCTCTTTTCTTAATTTTTTTTTTCTTTTTCTTTTTCTCTTTCTCCATTCTGCCAATTTTGCTTGAATTATTCTTTTTTTCATTCTTTCTTTTTATTCTTTCTTTTTCTTTATTCTTCCTTTCTTTCTTGTTTACTTTATTTTTCTTTTATTCTTTCTTTCTTTTATCTTTCATGCCACTTTTTCCTTTTCTTCTTTATCACAAAATAAAAATGCAATTAAGAATGAAAAAATTATTTCCTTCTTTTGTTCTTTTATTTTTCCTGTTTTCTTTCATTTTCTCTTTTTATCATTCTTCCTTTTTTTTCTTTTAAACTTCTCTTATTTTCCTTCAAGTTTCTCTTCATTCTTTTTTTCTTCTGCTTTCTTTCATTGTTTTTCTTTCCATGTTTTTTTTCTTTTGGTTTCTTTTCATTTTTTTTCTTTCCTTCTGTTTCTTCTTTCAGTATCTTTTTTTTTTTTATTCTTCTATTTCTGCTTTTATTTTCCTTTTTTTTCTTTTATTTCATTTTCTCTTTTTTTCTTTTTCTTTTTTCTTCTTTTATTTTCCTTTTTCTTTTTTCTTCTTTTATTTTCCTTTTTCATTCATGTTTCACTCCTTTTCACTATTTTCTTACTTTCTTTTTCTCTTTTCCTTTTTGATTACTCTTTTCCCCCTTTCTTTCTTGTTCTTTTCTTTATCTTCTTTTTTCCTTGTCATTACTTTTTTGCTCTTTTTAGCACACCCTGCCAAATTTTCTGTTTACATTCATTCTTCATTTTAGTCTCTTTTTTTTTATTTTTAGCCTTTTACTCATTCATTCTTTTCCTTCTAATCAGTCATCTTCTTCCTTAAATTTTTATCTTTTCCTTCTTTTTTAATTTTTTTTCTTTATCCCTTTCTTTCCTTTCTTTCTTCTTTATCATGTCTTTACCTAACACCTCTATTTTGCTTTTAGTCTCTTCTTTCTCTTTCACTATCTTTTTCTCTCTTTTTCTTTGTCAGTTTATTCATAAACTTTCTTTATCTCTAATTTCATCTTTTCTTTTCCCTTTTTTCCTCTCTGTCCCCCTCTTATGTATTATATTACTTTTTTCTTTCTTTTTCTCTCTTTTTTCTTCATTTGTTCTTTCTTCCTGTTGCATTTTATTTTCTTTCTTTTTGCTTCCTGCTTTTACTCTCTTTCTTCTGCTCCTCCCTACCTCCAGCTTCTTTTTTCTTTCTTATCCTTTGCCTTCTTTCTTCTTTTTCCCTTCTTTATCACTCTGTTTCCACTTCCTTCTTTTCTTTCTTTATCTTTCTTTCATATTCATTCATCTTTCTGACCATCACTTTTTCTAAATTTTCCTTGTTTTCAGCCTCTCTTTCTCTTATTCTTTCCAACTCCTCTTCCCTCCTTTTTATTTATCTCTTCCCCTTCTCTTCCCTTTGCTTTCTGTCTCTCTTGTTGCTTTCTTCCTTATTCTTTTTCTTTCTCTCTTTCTCTTTGTTAATTACCCTTACCTTTTCTTTCCTTCCTCCTTCATGGCTTCATTTCCCTCTCTTGTATTCCTTCCAGCATTTCCTCTTCTTTTTTTCTCCTGTTCTTTTCTACTTTCTCTTTTCTTTTTCCCCCCACTTTACCTATCTCTGTTCCTCTCCATTTTCTCTCTTCTCCCACTCATGTTCTTCTTGAATTTCTTTTTCTTTCTTTCTCCTCTTTCTTCTCACTCTTTTCTTCCTTTATTTCTCTTTTCATCCTATTCCTCCCTCTTTTCTTTTACTCTGTCCACTTCTTTTTCACTTTTCCCCTGTTACTCCATACTAACTCCTTCCTTTCCTCTTCTTATATTCCTATCTCTCTCTCTCTTTTTTCTCCTTTCTTTCTTCTTCATTCACTTCTTCCTTTCTCTCTCTTCCTGTTTCTTCTTACTTTGGTCCTTTCTTGCTCCTTTTTGTGTTCTTTCTGTCTTCTGTTTCTCCCTGCTTTTTTGGCTTGCTCCTTTCTTTCTCCATTCATTTCTTCTTTTCTCTGTTCTTCTCTGCTTTCTTCGTCCTTCTTGTCTTCCTTTCTCTCTCTCTCTCTCTCACACACTTTTTCCTATTCCTCTTCACTCCTCTTTTTCTTTCTCATGTTTCTCCTTGCTGTTCCTGCTCCCTCTATCCTTTCTCTATGTATCAGCTTCCTCCTCCCTTCCTCCAATCTTTCTCTTTGTTTTCTTCCTCCTGCTTGTTTTCTTTGGTCTTCTATACAGATTGCTGAATTTGAACCAGTCTGCTTACTGAAGCAGTCAAGTGGAAAATCCCAAATGGGAGAGACTTGAAGAAGCCGTTACAGGATGAGCTAAAAAGATCTAATTTTGCCCCGTCTTCTGCTTGACTGACAGAATCGATACTCTTGATTCCTTCCACCTGGCTGACCATTTCTATTCACTGGCAGAATTCCTCACTTAGCCAACATTTTGCTCACATTTGCCAGTTTCTGTACTGAATGTATAAAATCTATTTGCTTATATCATTCATTCTGAGACTGAGATTGAAACTCTTAGCAATTTACCATTCCGTGGCCCTTCTACAGTTTAGATTACAATTGTGGCCGCTTGATATAAAATATTTGGCAAGCTTTATTTTCTTATCAGCACACAGTATATTCCTATAATCTATGAATGAATGTCACTTTTTGTTACAAGCAGACAAAGGTGGTACTTGAGTAAAGGAACAGCAACACGCATGTAGATGAAAGAAAGAGAGGTTTATTGTAAAAGAGAAAACACTACTGAAAGACAGGGAATCAGTTAGCAGGCTAGTAATTCCAAAAGCAAGGTTATTTACCTCACCCCACTGCGAGGTAGGATGTGGCACAAGACCGTTATTTAATGCGGGGTAAAACCGATCCCATAGGCTCGGACAATAATTCCCCATAAAAACGGGGTCTACCACCCCAGAAGAGACTCTGCCCTTTTGCATAGCCTTGCCTGGGCTCCTCTCTGCCCAAAAGCAGAGAGTTTGACCAGCTCAGCTGGAGACAAATCTCCAACTAATTCCCAAAGCAAGTATATTTAGCTACCCCCGCTCATGAGGGTTGCATTTGGCAAAAGGCCGGTTTAATGTGGGTTGTCCAAGCCTGTAGGCTCGGCCAAAAATATTGCCTTTTTATAAACGGGTTCAGGGTCAGTCTACATCCCCGAACAAGACTCTGCTCTTTGGCGGAACCTCATCCGGGTTCCTCTCCACCGGAAGGCAGAGTGTTCGTCTAGCTTAGCTGGAGACAAATCTCTAACTAATTTGCAAAGCAAGCCCCCCAGGTATATCCTGTGCACACTATATATATATATATATATATATATATATATCTACACTGATATAGTCAGTCCACAATAGGCAACAGGGAGAGTGGGATATTCCATTACAACACCTCCCCACTGAGCTATTTTTCCCCATGAAATTTTGATCAATAGCTCTTCTTTTTGGGGTCAAGACATAACTGTTTGACTTTTTTTTCCTCTTCCTACTACTTATTCGTCTTGCCAATAAGTCAAAACGATCAGTTTTATTATAATCTTTTAAAAACTGTACTGAATTATTTAAACAAGTGCATGTGTGTGGGGGGGTGATGCATTTGCATATGTTTTTTGTCTTTTCAATTATTATTAATACTACTACTTATATCACACTTGTCTGTAAAAGCAGCCATGAATAGATCCTGATAGACATTGTGTTACCTTGAAAGATGAACATCATGAAGTTCAAGTGGGCAAAACTACAGAGGGACTAAGACATGGCAGGACTAATCAGAGAAATATACCCAGCAGTAGCTAAACTTGTCCCTTTTGTAGTTGATGCACTTGAGACTATTTCCATGAATCTTTCTACCTTGCAAATAGCTGACATCGTGGGTAGTGCACAGGTGGCAGCACTGCTTTGAACAGCTCATATGATGAGGGTAGTGTTGTGTTTCAAAGCTGCAGATAGGAACTGAGATATCATCATCATCATCACCCAGCTGAAACATTTGAGTTGATGAGGATATCAAATCTAATAATAATAATTAGGAGTGCACAGGTGGCAGCACTATTTGGGGCAGTTCATGTGCTGAAGAAAGTGTTGTGTCTTTAAGCTAGGAGCCAAGACATGATAATCACCTGGAGAATCAGAGAGGATATCAAATCAAATCATAATAATGATAATAATTGGGAGTGCTCAGGTATCAGCAATCTCATTTCCTGCAGCAATCCTAATAACCATTGTTATTCTCTGACATTTAACATGACAAATTAGTCAAGAATCTAAATGATTGTTGTATCCTTAAAGAAGGTTACAAACAGACAAAGGTGATAGTTCAGTGAAAGGAACAGCAACACGGGTGTAGATGAAAGAGAGGTTTATTATAAAATAGAAATCACTACTGAAAGACAGGGAATCAGCAGGTTAGTAATTTCCAAAGTAAGCCCCCCCCAGGTATATCCTGTGCCCACTATATATATATCTACTGATATAGTCAGTCCACAATGGGCAATAGGGAGAGTGGAACATTCCATTACAACACCTCCCCACTGAGCTAATTTTCCCCATGAAATTTTGCCCAGTAGCTCTTCTTTTTGGGGGTCAGGACATAACTGTGTGACTTTTTTCCCTCTTCCTACTACTTTTCTGTCTCTCCAGCACAAAACATTTTTTTTAAATGCAAACAGGAAAATCTATGTGTGTATGTAAAACATTCAGTAACAGTCAGTATATTTAATATGAGTCTAAAAGTCTGTATTATTTACATCATTCAGACTGTTATCCTCATTTTCATTGCTATATTCACAACATTTCAGCCTTCTTCAGGTGATTGTAATTTTAAACCAAACCCTTTATTTCATCCCCCAGGGTAGATTGTTCTCAAGGACACATGGCCCAGTGGATAAGACGTTGGTTAGATCCAGTGAGTAGACCCAGAAAGTTGTGAGTTCACTACCAGGACACAGCAGTGGTGAACCAAAACTTAGAGAGGAGTTAATGGGATATAACTGAGACACCCGGAAAAGGTATGGCATGTAGAACTAGAACAATCTACCCTGGTGGTCAAAATAAAGGGTTTGGTTCAAAATTCCAATTACCTAAAGAAGGCCAGAGTGTATAATGGATGAAATTTGGAGAATATGACAATGAAGATGAGGATAACTGTCCAAATAATGTAAATAATACAAGCAATCATATTGTAGTGTTTCTGAAACAAACAAATTAGATTCAAATTCTTTTTAATCAGTTCACTCCAAGAAAGGCAATAAAGCCACTAAGACTGTCTTGATATGTAAATGACTGCCCAATTAAATTAGCTAAGGCATAGACTATATAAATTCCCAAGCAGTAAGGGTAGACTAGCTCTCAGTATACAAGATAAACGACTACTGCTGGGCTGGTAAAATACAAAGGAAAATTCACTCCATAACAGTGGCATTGTTTACTACTTTATTTTTGTGGAGAGCTATGATCATCCATGTCCTGAAAGGACACGGCATATATAAGAAGAAACATCAGTTTAATATTATTAGTGGTGTAATGACTGTCTAATTAGCATAGCTAAGGCATAGACTATATAAATACACAAGCAGTAAGGGTAGACTAGCTCTTGGTATATAAGATAAATGACTACTGTTGGACTGATAAAATACAAAGGAAAGCCCACTTCATAGCACAAGCTATATAGTGCTTCAGCATAGGGTAATGGTTAATGAACCTAGTCTGGTTGACCATTAACTAATCGATATTAATTAATCCAACAAGGATTGAAATAAATTTTTCTTTTCTATTATTGAAATTATTATTCATATTCAATGAAAATGCAAGGGGTTACTGAATCTGAGAGAATATGAAAATAACACTGTTTAGGGGAGAGAACAATAAAAGAACAGGAATTAAGAAGACAGAAGATAACAATTGAGATTGTGTTTAAATTTTTGAAGATTAAAATTGACTGGAAACCAAAAAACCAGAAGGAAGTTCCATAAGCTGAAAGTGCAACAGAAGAAACTCTTAGCATAGAACTTACAGTTATATCTAGCCTATTCAACTGTAAAATGATGAGACCTTGCCACCAATCTAGTACTACACTTAGATTCTTAGGGTCTAGGTACCATAGAGGAAAACTCACATCAGAACAGTCAATTTCAGACAAAATAAAAATCTCTTTTTATTGAATATTAATAATGAGCACTTTCCATGTAAGTAGCAGTGAGAGACTTTGCCATATCTGGCCTGTGAGAGAGAGATTGGAGTATGGAAAATAATTCTTCTCCAACAAGGACTCAGAGACACTTTTGAACTCTATCAGGACTGGAAAGTGAGTTCAGAGCAACTGAGTGGATACTAACTTAAAATTAAATTTACTTATAATTTACAGAGAAAGATAAACATTTCACAGCATGTAAAAAATATATCAAATTATTAATCTGCAAAGTTTCATCTTTTAAATATATATAGTTATTAAGTTATTAGAAATTTTATAATCTTTAAGGCAAAAAATGTACCATACGTGATAAACACTTGGGTGATTATGTCTCTTTTGATTTATGAATAAATAGGCAGAAAATGGCATACTGTTGCCATGTTTGGGCAGGAGCTGTCCAGTCCTCACTTTTCAGTCTTGACAGAATTCAAAAGTGTCAGCTAGGACCCACTATATCATTTATATAGTATCAAACCACCCAAACAGATTCCCAAGAGGATTTTTTCTCAATCACTACAATCTTAACTTGTTCAAGTTCAGAGTTAACCATTATCTTCCCTACCCCCTCCTACCAATATAAACTACACCTTAACATAACCCTTTGCTTCAAATAAAGGTGAACCTTAATGTTAGAAAAAAAAGAAGATTTCCTGCAGTAACCTGTCATTACTGTGGTAGACTTGACAGCCAAAGCTATAGGGTTCCATCTGTACTGCTATTTAACCAATAGCTCAGAGGATGGTATTTGTGTGTAACAAACCCAACTGGAATTTGAACTCATCTCTCCAAGTTCTCATTCCAAGCCATTATCTATCATGTCACCATCATATCATCAACTCTTCAAGTAATAAAATTTAAACTGAAGCCAAGCATTTTCTGTTAAATATTCGTATGCATTTTGTGTCTACAACTATATGTATGTGGTAGATATAAATAAAGAATGACATATCAAGCAGTCAGTCTGCATGATAATCTGGGTAGCAGTCGGATGTAACAGTCCAAGCCAAAGTAGTAAAATGTTCCAGTATTAAATTGTCCTGTGTCTTGCCTATTTTCTGTCCTATGAAAACTGTCTTCATAAGAA